CCAATCAAATCGTTCGGTTACCCTGCATGGCCAGCGCAGCTTGCTGCTGCTAACACTCTGGGCTTGCCTACACAACAGAGCAGAGAGGAAGAGACAGTGATGACAGCATGGCTTGCTCTAAAAGAAGGAAGGTTGATGAGGAAAACTGCTGCTTTGAAGATGTGTGGACGGAGAAACGTATGTTCACTCTTCCGTCAGGCAGTTCACAACCAGTGTGTCTCATATGCTCTGAAAACGTGGCATCAACTAAAAGTAGCAACGTGAAGCACCATTACAAAACAAGGCACAGCTCTTTTGTGCAAAGTTATCCCCTGAAGTCCGAGCTGAGGGCACGCAAAATAACCGAGCTGCAAGCCCTGTATGACAGATCTATCCAACTCATCACCACATTTACAGCCCAGCAATGTGCAAACCAAATCTTTTATTTGTTGTTTTCTGAGGATGTTGGCTTTTTTACTTAAAGTGGAGGTCTTCAGTTCTTTAGGCTGGGACCTCTTTAATTTAAGGGATAAAAGGGTTATTTGGTTCTGTTTGCACTTTTTAAAATGTATTTTATTCTGAGATTTTTGTTTTCTCTAATCTGAAATAAAGGCCTCAATTGTTTTTGCCTGGGACTACTTATTTCTAGTAAATGAGCTAACTGTGCACTCAGTTAAACATGTCCTGCACTGAAAATTGACAACAAGCATTGTTGAAACCATGAAAATGTGGCCATAGGGGAAGGCTTTAAGACACAAACTGGACTTCGGTCCGGATCTTTAATAACTGTACCTCAGTGACTTTTAATTGAATACCCCTGCAATATGTCAACTTTGAGACACCTGATAGGCTATCATCATTGACAGATGGTTATGGTCTGGACAAACTGAGATTGAGAATATTATGTATAATGTTTTGTTGGTATCTTTGTCTGGATGTAGTGCTAACTCCACATTACGTTTTCTCAAAAATANAAATACATCAGAAAACATGGCAAAAATACACTTGACTTGTAATACCAGCACCTGGTTATATTTTTGTCTAATTACTTTGTTTTCAATGTTTAGGAGAGAAGCATTCATTAAAAAGATAAAATATTCCTGCATGTGAAAGAAAGGCAGCAAAAAGCCACAGCTCTAAAAGCACTCAACATTTGCCGTGTGCGTATGATTGCATTAACACTAATGGAATGCATCATCAGTTGTTAGAAGCAGGACTTAAAAATGATCCATGCATAAGAGAGTGGGGGAAAGAGTAGAGAGGGAACAGCAAAGAACAGAGGAAAAGAGACGTCTGAGGGGAAAACAAAGACAAGGAAAAGCAGATGAGTGGTTTTGGCCGCTGAAATGTCTCAAAACGTCAACTCTTATCTCCAGAATGTTACACAATCAACAAGTGTGTTCGAGTAGAAGGCACTAGAGGAGACTCTGTCTAATGGAGTGTGTGGCCTGTGTGGACAGATGGCCTAGACTGCTGCGAGTGCTTCCATTTTAGCTAAAGTGGGAGGAAGAGGAGGGGAGAAGAATACCTTAAACTCATTCTCACAGGAATTATGTTGCTATTATGTTGATGAGTGCAGAAAAATGCACACACTACTGGCTCAGAACAAACATGATCCCTAAAGAACACCAATCTAATCCACCTCAGATTTATCCAGCTTCTTTGCAAAGACATGATGTCATATTTTTGGCTCTAAAACCTTTTGTCCACAGGCCTTGTATGGCCTGTTTTAATCGTGCTGGGCTCGTGCAGTGTGAAGACATAAGCCTGCTTGTCAGTGAGCTTTTAAAAGATGACCTGTGTCTGTATGAAACCAGCGTCTCTCTAGCTAAACATTTCTTTTCACCTTGCTATGCTGCGATGGTGACCGTGCTACAGCATGGCGTAAATGGTTGAGGTTGCTCACAGATCAGCTCAGCGACTATCTCATTACTGTCAAAAACTGCATTGCTTCAGCAGTTTAAATCTAAATAATTTATTCCTAACTTGATACTATCTCTGACCTCATGGCTGGAAAAAATGTGCTGTCCGGTCCATCCATTCACTGCCCGCTCCTATCCTGGTCCTGATAAGGCTTAATTCAGTCCCCCAGCTACACTGAACTACCCGTCTAGCTGCTGCACTGACAAACCATCAGCTACAGACTGCTACAGGACCATCAGCAGTCACTCCTTATGACCATCGGAAATAACATCTACTACTATCAGATGGATGGTATAGTATAGTCATGCCTCTCAAAACGACAGTGTCATTCTATGGACACTGTAAAAAGTAAACAAAATAAAATAAACTGATGGAACTGGGAGTAGATAATCTGTATGTATGTATATATATTTTATGCACTCAGTGTGTGCATAAACTTTCCAGGTGTATTCAGTCATGACTTCAATATGATAAAAAGACAGCTGTAGTAGTCAAGAAAGAAGCGAACTGGATAAAAGGGAGCTCTAGAATTAGAAGTGACAGTTACACCTTATTTCCACAGATTTTTTTGGTGTCAATAATTCCGTATAATATGCAGACTATAGCCCCTGGTGTTCAAAGCATGGAAATGCAGTTTATTGTGGACAGCTGGACACTTCACCACAGTCATGAGAAAGACGTGAATGTTATCAAAATGTTGCTGTCTAGTTTTATGTAATACACCCACAACAAACACTGAACCACAGATGCATGGTGGGAAATAAGTGAGGAGCCTGGTCTGCCAGGTGTGGAGCCACTGTCATGAAAGATTCTAATAAAAGGTGGATGAACACTATGCATGCATTCTGTATTCTAAACAGTTATTTCACTACCTAAAGTAGTTTCTTTGTAATTATGCATTGACATGCTTTGACTGTAGACAGTGAAGCAACTGAACAGCCAGTGTAACTTCAAGCTAATTTGTTTTTCCAACTTCAGTGCACATAGTGCGGTCTCCCTAAGATTTTAACTGCAAAAGTTCAAATTTTTACATCCCAGAGGCAAATTTCATTCTGCTTGACTCATACATGTATCTCTAGAAAAAAATACCACTTCAAGTTCAGATAATAT